TGGAACAGGATCATGGAGAACAACAAAGAGGCCGACAAGAAGTACACTAATGCCTCCCACACGAAAGACGACGCCTTCTCAGGAGTCATAGATTTCGTCTCCAAGATGTCTTTGGCGAACTTGTTGGAGTCATTTTCCTGCACCCCAAGTTGATCGCCACCTTTGCGTCGTTCGCGAAGAGGCAAGTGGGAGGTCCGAGAGAGATACTCATCATGGCTCTGAGAGTCAGGTTGTGTGTGAGATTGCTTGAGCAAATCTTCCGCTCCTACAACTCGGAGATTGTCTCGGAGATGTTGACCGAGATCTTGAAGACTGAGAAGTTCACGGACATAAGCTTGGTCCATCGCAACTTCAGGAAAGGGGACAAGAAGGCCTTCAGCCTCTCGTTCAATTCGGATAGTACCAGATGGAACCAGAGGTGGGTCTCTGCCAAGTCCTACATCGTTCTGAAGTCCTTGCCGGTGAAGCTGGAGAGGTTGTTGGCAACTTTGATCAAGTCATGGTCGTACAAGTACTTGTTCATGAACAAGCACGTCGAGTTGAGGCTCGACTCGATCGAGAAGGGGGAGGACGCGGCGCCGCTGATCAAGATGTTGATGAAGTACTACTCTTCCTTGATGAGGTCCATGGCGATCAAGTCTTCCTTCTTCCAGGCCTCGGGCAGAGGTCGGGTGGCACACTGAGAAACAAGGGATTATGGAGATTCTGTCTTTTCGTGCCAGAGGGTCCTGGAGAGGGTCAGGGGTTGCTTTCAACACTTCCCAGTGGACGGTCCTGAAGAAGGTGGTGGCAGGAAAGGGGGTATGGGTCAGGCTGAAAGGGCTCGTGGAAGGGTGTGCTGTGTGGGTTGGGTCTGCTCACTTTACGCCGGGCTGTACGCATGCACAGTACGAACAGGAGGTCTCGGATTTCCTGCGGGAAGCCCCCGCTGGCAGGGATCCCGTCTTTTGCCAGGTGGATGCTAATGCCCCTCTTGGATGGACTCCTTTTGACTCTGTGGTCCTGCCTGTTGGGAAGGACGGGAAGGCCAATGAGATTCTCGGGCAGCTGGAGGCGAAAGGGTTTCGAGTTATGGTCCCGCCCAAGGAGCAGTTTGAGGTTCCTGCCAGTCGTCCAAGACAAGAGGGTCGGGGGGCACATCATCGACTACATGTGTTCTACGAGGGTTCAGCACAGCACCTTTCAAGTACATGTGGACTCTCACCTGGTCCTTGGCACGGATCATGAATTGCTCCAAGGGAACTTTGAGTTGCCGATACAGCGTGTTCATCGCCGCCATCCCACAAGGCCCAGGGTGTGGGCAGGGGGAGTGGATCAGATTGACTATGTGGATCAACAAGTCTTGGTTGAGCTCGCGGCTAAGTGCACAGTTCCGATGAGAGGTGAGGGCTATAGGGATCCGGAAGAGGTAAAGATGGCTATTGCGAGAGCGAGGGAAAGTCGAACCAAGCAATCGTGGTGTGAAGTCAGACGTCTCAGGAAACTGGCGCGTAGGAAGTGGGAGCATGACAGGGTTTCAAGGGCTGCCCAGGGGGATTGGGCGGCACTGGCGGGCTGCAAAGACACGAACAGGACGGGGTGGGAGCATGCCTTCGCTGCTTCGCAGACAGAAGACCCGCACAAAGTTGTCCACAACCACTTGGAGCAGGTCTACAAAGGGGAAAGGGTGATGAAGAACGAGGGACAGTTTGAAGGGGACACCAAGGCGTTCACGGAGGAGGAGTTTGACGTGGCTCTCGGGCAGATGAAAGGGGGCAAGTCGGTGGGTATTGATGGTACTTCCAAGGAGCTCTTCTTGGGCCTAGTTGATGTTCCTGGCGGGAAGCAGCATGTCCTCGAATTCTTCAACAGGGTTTTGGTTACACATGATGTGCCTCACGACTGGAATGTCCCACTCATGGTTCTCCTTCCCAAGATTGCTGCGCCTAAGCTGGCCAAGGATCTTCGCCCCATCTCGATGGGCTCGGCTGCCTCTAAACTGTTTTCACGCTTACTGCTCAACAGAACCCTGCAGCATATCACAGCACGCGCTCACAGCCAGTGCGCTGGAACAGGGCGTCAAGCCTCGGATTACATGTTCACGATTTGGAGAGTGCTTGAGCTAGAACGGGAGTGGCACGCTGGGCTTTGCTTGGTTAAGTTGGACGTGGCAAAGGCGTTTGACAATGTGAACAGGGAGAAATTGCTCGCACGTCTCAAGGAACGTATGGGAGACTGCTCTGAGCTTCGGTGCTGGCGTGCTCTGCTTCAGGAGAGTTCTGCCTTCTTGCAGTCCCCCTGGGGCTCGTCCCAGGTCACGATGAGCCAGGGAATTAAGCAAGGAGGGGTGGAATCCCCTGGTTTTTTCGCTATGTTGGCGGAAATTTGCTTACAGGAAACGGCTGCAAGGTTCCGTTGGCATGAGGATCCGGAGGTCTTTGAAGGGTTCCCGTACAACGACGTTTTGTTTATGGACGATGGGATCCTGTGGGCCAAGGGGGCTGACCGGGTGGAGCGGAGGGTCAGACAGCTCATGGTTGTCCTCGGGGAATATGGGTTAAGGCTCAATGGTTCCAAATGCCAATTCCTGTGCTCGCCTCATTGGAAGGGCAGGAAAAGCATTGTCATTGCGGGCGAAACGGTGCCGGCGGTCCAGTCGGTGGAAGTGATGGGGATCCCTATGAGGGTCGGAATGACTCCGTGCGAGCTGGTGGGACCGTTGCTTTCGAGAGCGCGTGCCAAGTTCTGGACGCTAAAGCACATCTTCAGATCCAGGACAGGCCTGAAAGGGAGACTGCTGTCTACTGTCCTTGGGGGGACGGCTTTGTGGTGTGTTTCGGCCCTGCCGCCGGACAGATCTGCAATGGGGCTTATGAACACGGCACAACTGCAACTCACGATTTGGGCCATGAGACTGGGCAAGAGGCAGGATGAAGACTGGGCGGGGTTTCGGAGGCGATCATACAGGTGTGCCCGGGCTGCGATGCATGGGGCGGGGGTGGAAAGGTGGAGCACCACGTGGTTGAGGCGGTGGTGGCGGTACTCAGGACACAGGACGAGGTGTATGCTGCGTGAGTTTCCCCCCGTTAGTGCGCACATGGACTCATACAGGACCCTCAGGTGGTGGGAGTTGGAGCAGGTGAGGCCCGGGGGGAGATCCCACTCCCACCGTTACCCGAGGTTGATGAATATGGAACGGTCCATGGAGGTGGCGGCTGGGCAGGAGTGGAGAATTCTGGCGCAAGACAGAGGGGCTTGGAAAGGTAGGGAACAGAGGTGGGTGGATCAAATGGACCTGGCTTGGGCGAGCGGGCGGCAGACTAGGCTGCCGGACTGGCAATGAGTGAGCGAAGGGTAGAGTCTCTGTAGGTCAGGGTTGCTGCTGCTTGTGAAGGATTTCCTGAGATGCAGCTTCGGCCCCAGTCGTGCTGTAGCTTTGCGCAGTGTCTCGCTCGGCTCCCTTAGGGACGCTGGTCGCTAGTGAACTTTCATTTCCGTGAGCCACGTGATGTGGCTGTTTCGTAACTTCATGGCAGGTGGTTTTGGTAAAGTGATGGGGTGCGCCCTTCTGTTGGGCGTCAGGGAGGTCGATGCCGCGAGCCCTGGTCACCGCCGTGCCGATGATTCGCCGCAAGATGGAGACGATCGGCGGTTTGTGAAACCCCAGGGATCCCCCGCTACACGTTTCAGGACTACGTCCTCGGTGACGAAGTGGCGTGGATGCAGAGGCGAGGGAAACAGCCTGGTACCCCTGACGAACCGGATGGTGACCGAAGGCGTAGGACTGCTGCGTGGCGAGCTGAGGTCGCTGCTCGATGGCATGAGCTGGGTGATGCTCGTGCCAGGGCGAGGGCGTACAGGCGGCTGTTTGCCACCATTGTGCAGGAGCATGGCCTGGCGCCTCTCCTGTTTGCGGAGCAAGTGATGAACCCAGTGTGGGAAATGGCCTTTCCATCATGGCCACAGCATACCAGAGACAGTCAAGGGGTGGACACATGGGTGGCGAACACGGCGGCGGAGATCATGAGACTGTACGCTGAGCGGCAGCCCAGACCCACTTCGTCTGAGCCAGCTTCGAGTGATGATGCACCTCATCCTGCTGCTGGCATGGGTGACCTGCCGCCTGCGCCGCACTGGGAGTTTGTTCTGCGGGGTTGATCCAGGTGCTCCTGCACCTGGACCTACTGCAACTCCGGACGAGGCAATGTCCCTGGACAGTGGGGATGAGGTCGACACCGAGAGTGCCTCTGGCGAGACGGAGACGGCGGGGGGAGTTAACAATTCTGGGGCGGCGGTCTCAGGGGTACTGCCTGGTGCTGATGGGACAATGGCGGGCGGGCCGGTGGGTCCGGATGATGCAGGCAGCCATATGGACGTGGCTGTTGGAGCGGAACGCCCTGCCGAACATGGAGGCGATGACGAGGATGACGAATGCACCCTCATGGACCGAGGTGACAGAGACAGGAGGAAGCCGCGCACTCCACCGAAGTCCGCAAGAAGACAGACGTCGGCAAGGGCATCCTCGTCGAGGCGACCGAGTGGAAGCAGCAGAGAGGGAGAGGGCGGCTCTAGCTGGACGGACAGAGACATAGCGCCAAGGAGGCCTAGGGCTAACCACACGGGACGGAGTGTACCTGCTTCGGGTGCTAGGGTGCGCTGTACGGAGGAGAGAGTCAGGTTGGAGCCGAGGTCGATACCGACGAGAGTTGGTGGGGATTATGTTCGGCGCACGTCGACAGGGGCCACGTCCTCTGACACGCCGGTCAATGTCGACTTCACTGTGTTCCCTGACGGCCCTCGGGACATGGATCAAGGAGTGGATATTTGGAGGCACTTGCTTGGCATCGCGAGCTTCGGAAACCCCTCGAGTCCGCCCATTCATAGAGGAGGCCCTTTTATCCCAGACGACAGGGCGGAGTACATGAGTGAGGTTCTCAAGGGTTACAGTACTCAGGAACAAGTGTTCATGACCCTGGCCCTGCTCACGGCTGTAAGGGCTCTCCTGACTGAGCTGGGTCAGATCCTGCATGCGGCCTCCCTTGTTGAGGTTGTGGTACGTGGAAGGCAGTGACCGTGATGGGGATGATGAGAACACGGTCATGTTACAGCTGTGGTCCCTGCAGGGGCCTGTCCAGTGGGAAGGGGATGAGAGTGGGTTCGTGCAAACCGACATGGCTACCTCTGCTGGACTGGTGCAACGTCTACAAAGGGCCCTGGAGGAATCCCAGCCAGGTGTCGCTCGGCTGCGCGCGGAGAACATTCGGGCCAGGCTGGCACGAGCAAGAGGCATATGCCCGGCAGGCTCAATGGGGAGTGAAATCCTTTCCCATGTGGATGCTCTGTGTGTGGCTATGTCTTCGTCCTTGGAAAATGAGGTGGCTGATGGATTCGCGGCGAGGGCCGATGAGGTGGACGAATGGGCTTGGCACTGGCAGGCCATCCAGCGAGAAGTGGTTCCGCATGAGTCTACTGCTGGCCCGGCGTCTTCGTCGCTCCCCTCTGTGGTTGACTCGTCGCCGCGGACCGTTGGGGCGGATGTGGACAGTCCGGTGATCAACGAGATGGCAGAGGAGGAGAGGCTCGCAAGGTGCCAGCGGGAAGAGGAAGAAGCCCATGTGGAACGCTTCCTTCGTGAGCTGCTGGACCAGACAGATGAGGAAGCAGAGAGAGCGCGGATGTGCCAGGCATGGGACGACTGGGCGCTGTACGATGAGATGCATAACAGGCAGGGGAAGACCCGCAAGAGACGGTTTGTCGAGCTGTCCAATGATGAGGGTTTAGGGTCGGGCCTGGCTTCCTCAGGGTCCTCAGTGGCTCGCTTATGGTTGCCCCCTCATGGTGATCTTCGGCTGTCTTTGCGGATGGGCTTTGCTCAAGCTGAGCAGGTGATGGAGGATGGGGACAGCAATGCAGACACTGTCTTGGTTCCTGTGGGCGAGGCAGGCCAAGAGGACTCGCGGGCACTGCAGTCTCAGAGATCGTCGGCTAAGCCCTCCTGTGATGCTGGTGTCAAGGAGGGCGTCCCGCTCGAATTTGACGACTTTCAGCGTCTCTTTGATCGCTGGCGTGAGGGAGGCATCTCGAATGAGGAGGTCTCTGGCCAGTTTGGGCAGCACACCCTTGACTTACTACAAACACAGATGGCTGTCCTTCAGACGGATGGGGACTCTGTTGGGGGTCTCCCTGGGATGAGGGCCACGACGGAAACCATCCTGGATGCTTTGGTGGAGTCGGGTGGTCCAGTGTCTGATGCTGACGCGGACGGTTGTGAGATGACTGAGGCGGCGGATGGTGTCGCTCAGGGTGCTTTGGAAGAAGAGCGAGTTGCTTTCGGTGAAGACGAGGAGTGCGATGAGAGTGAAGTGATTATGGAGGAGGGGTTTGACATGGGGACTGGGTTCAGAACTGGCTATGCTCCTCGTCGTCGGCGGCATCAGTGGAGGGCTTGGAAAGATCGAAGTGACTAGGATGGTTGACCTCGGTGACGTCTGAGTGGGGTTATTTTGTTTGTGGGTGCTATGGCTTGGCCTTGACCGTAAGTGTCTCGGTTGGAAGCTAATAGCGCAAACCTGCCTGCCCTAGTGGGCTCACCTGCGGACATGGTACCGTGGGAAAAAGGCCTTCAAAAAAAAACCCTAAACCCTAAACCCTAAACCCTAAACCCTAAACCCTAAACCCTAAACCCTAAACCCCTAAACCCTAAACGGCCCTGAACCCTAAACCCCCAAACCCTAAACCCTATAAACCCCTTAACCCTAAACCCTAAATCCTTAAGTTCCTCGACCCTGAGCCCCAGAGGCCAAGCCCTAATATAGGGGCCTGAATAATTACCTACACTGTTT